GGACGCGCAGGCCCAGCGGCCATGGCTCACGGGCCCAGCCGCTCCGCGGTATGCGGGATCTTCCCGGACCGGGGCACGAACCCGCGCCCCCTGCATCGGCAGGCGGACCCCCAACCACTGCGCCACCAGGGAAGCCCTATTAATATATTTTTTGAACCAACTGTTTAATTATAAAAATGGTAAGGTGGATTTTTAATTACTTATTAGTAAAAAATATACTAAGGCCCCGTACCGACTAAACTATGTGAAACTTGGCCTACATAATGATTTCTAAATGATCTATTCAAGAAGGGGTGCTGTATATCTGGATAAGCCTACATTTTCCTAGTTTTATATATCTATTCATTGTTTATTATTCATAACGAAGAGTGTTCTGCAGATTTGGATCCTTGGGCATACACAGAAATTGAAAGGAGTAAATTATTTAAACTCAAGGTGTGAGTCATTCATCTGGTGCCTTTCATGTTGCAAGGTATAATGCATTTTATTTTGTATAATTTTTTGTTTAACACATTTCCACATATGCATAGGTGCTGAGTTTCCACTTTCTCGTATCATATTAGACAGAACAGCCTCCCTCTCACTCCCAAATGTGCCTCTAAGCAACATTCAGTATCAGACTTCTAAAGACTGATTTCCACATCTTTTCTCTTTTCTTCGTCTCCATGTTATTTACATCTCTAAGCATGTTTCCTTGTTCTCCACAACCTATCTGCAGAAGCAGAGTGTGAAGTCCTAAATGGGGCATTTCCCTATTGAGTATTGTCCTTTCTCTGAGGTACACTGTGTATTGATGACCTGACAGAAACATCTCATTTATATCAGAAGACCCTGGGTCAACTCTAAGGTCAGGACTGTGAACGCCTGAAGGGGAGAGGCTTCTTTGTAACTCTGGGTGTTAGGAGACTCAGACAGGTGCTTGGCTGGAAAAGACCATGGCCAGTTGAAGGAAATGACCAGATCCTGGCTGTGGACCAGCCTTGGGGAAAACTGGATTTTGTGAACTTTCCAAGGTATAGACAGAGGTGCAGGTATAGGCTGAGGTACAGGAACACCGCATAGGATCTAGTGAGTCTTGTAGGAGTTATCTTTTCGGCACAGTAATCTTTCAAATACTATAAGAGAGAAGCTCCCCTGGGGTCACGCGGGATAAAATGGATCTATCCAGAAAGCAGATACAGAAGCAATCTTTAAGTACAAAATGAAAGCCTCCATAATTACCATATCTTGTTACTAAATCATTCCAGAACTTTCTTGAATTGCATCTCTTAAGATCATATTCTAGTTATAGATTCCACAATGCACTGTGGAAAAAGAAAAGGGCAGTCTTTCTTCCCCCTGGGAAAAAAGCTACACTGGTATTCCTTGCCATTTTTCCTTCCAAGAGGAGTAAGAACACAGGGTGTTCTTCAGTGAGGGTGCCCAGAGGGAGGGTTTTCTGCGTGAAGAGCCAGTGCCCTCACACATGGAGTGGTGTGATAGATGGCTCGGAGCTGAGCCACAGGAGAGCAAACAGACCCTCAGCCTTCTGTTCTCTCCACAAGCGGGCAGAAGCGAGGGAACTACAGGTGTCAGTGAAGGAGGGAAGGCATGATTCTTTGCCTGGTGACAGTTATAGGACTCACTCTGGCCACAGGAGATAAAAAAAACACGACAGCAAAGCCAGACCCCAAGAGTTACTAAAAACAAGACAACCAGATTGATCCAACTTTGGCTTTCTTACTAGAAAAAAACATTTTTAGGAATTTGACCTAGAGAAAGACAAAAAGCAAGCCATATGCCACAAAGCTAAGGAATAACTCTTAAGTGTTAGGCTGAAGGGCAGTACATGAGAAAATCTCTTGAGAAACATCCTTTATTGGATCAAAAACTTCCCTGGAAAAACCCAGCCCAAGTGAGCATAGCATCCATTACTGGGAAATTAGAAGAAATAAAAAACACTGACATTTATCCATATCATGTACAATTTCATATTTTCTTGAAGTGTCTTGGGGCGCATCTCACTGCTTGCTAAGAAGAAATGCCATACTTTATAGACTCCTAGAGTTGAATGGCTCTAATAACTTAATCTTGATTCACACAAACATGTTGCCATCACTACCAGTCTTCCTGGATACAATAAAAGCTGTCCCCATTTTATAACCGGGAAGGTGGACGCTTAGAGAGGTTTACCACCTAAAGTCACATAGCAGAATCTAGGCTTTGAACACATATTCGCTACCTTCTTTGGTTTTTTTTTTCATTAAATTATGCTAAAGAGTCACTCAGCAAGATGTGTTAGTTCCTCTTTGGAGGCTGAACTTCAAGGCAATGGTATGCCTATAAACGGAGATATGGTTATGTACCCAACCTCGAAGGCTCCATGGAATGGTTCTGTTTACTTTATAATTTTGTCATTCTCTCTTAGAAACTACCAGACTCACAATAGATGTTCTACACAAAAAGCCTAAAAATATCCCAGTCTTTCCACGTTCCATTTGCCTTCTGTCTTGATCTTTCTCTCTTTTTGTCTCATTAAAGTCCTTCCCATCTTAGTACTGTCTCTTTTGTAACTTCCTGTCCTTCTGTTCATTGATCCCATTTTTGTTCTTTGTTCTGATGTTATAGCATTGTCAGTACTCCGTCTTGCTTCTTTCCCTGACCCTCTACATTATTAGTCACCAGCAGTGTGGAAACACTGCAGAGCCATCAGCCAGGCCCTGTTATAACCCACCCTTTTCCAGCTTATACTCCCTTTTTGGTCTTCCCAACAAATCTATCATGTGCCGTGTTCTCCTTCGCTATCAACAAGGTAGGGAGAATAGTAGGTAATGTTGACTTTATTTCTTAATTATGTATTTCTGGGAAGAGGGCTCTGATGGCAGGTGAATTTTTACAGAATTCCCCCTTCCTGACTTCTAATTCCATTTGAAACATAACTGAAGTGGGAAGTGAGTATTCCTCTAAGGATTTCTAAAGTTCTGAGGATTTACACAACCGTGTAAGATTTAGATCTGTGGACAATCGTTGGCAACATTTTATTTCCAGTGTGGTTAATCCCGTGTGAGAGTTCATAGAAGAAAGAATGGTAGGCCCGGGGGCATTCTCCTCTATGAAAATTTGGAGAAAACAAGATTCAGTACTAGTTTTAGAAGTAGAAAAAGATTTTTAAACCATGGGGAGTCACCCAAGTAGTGTGATGACTTTAGACCCTTAAGTCACCTGGGACAATCTGGAGAGGTTGGTGTCAACACCCTTTACCTGGGCCCTTGTGTTCACGAAGTTGAGCAGATTATGACTAGCCTGTATCTTCTGATAGCCTATTACAATTGGCATCTAGTCCAGATTTTGAATCAGAATCACATTTATTTTCATCTTTGTTTGAAAACAGTATGAAGTGCTCAGATTGCTGATGTATTAATTTCTCATTCAGTACTTTCAACTGGACCATCCCATTCTTAAGCTGGCTGGCCATTGTAGCCCTCTGTGCGTTCACAGTCATCCTATACTTCATTCCGCTGAGATACATTGTCCTTGTCTGGGGTAAGTAAAGCCTTTTTTAAGAAATTTTTTTAACTGTCACAGCTGCTAAGAACAAACTATTTTTAAGGGATGAGTTATACTGTCAGTAGTTCCCTATGTTTATGGTCATGAAGCTACTCCATGATGAAAAGAGACAGGTCAGTTAAAAATCACAAGAGTATGAAGATTTAGGTCTATCTGCAAATGCATTTTTCTTATCTGGCACCATAGGCTCCATCATACTATAAACATGTAGTTGTGCAGATTCTTCATATATCAAAGTGTAGCTTTGTCTAGATATCACTCTGATTTATTTCCACCATTTATACATAAACAGAGGCATTTTGATCCATATGGTGCATTTAGGACAATATGCTTTTGTGCTGTGTACTTTATCTTACGGAAATGTCCGTAAACATGGTACTATATATGGCTGCCTGTGTAAGAGGTCACCTTTAAGGAAGCAGGAAAAGGGTCCTTGGCATTGGCAGGCTGCTTGGGAACAAAAAAACCTGCTTTATGTGTACTAAACCAGAATGCTTCTGTAAAAACCCACTTTAAAGGTGATATTTGGGGGTCCTAATTTCTAATGCAATTATGCTTCATGCTGACAGTTCCTATGTACCTAGACTATACTTAGGTGGTACTTTCAGCATTCTTCATAGTTTGGGGTTTTGGGGGTTTTTCTTCTTTCTCTTATCTGACACAATTCTTTGTTTGGAAAACTTAATTTTCAGTCTCCAAGATCAACTAACATATAAAACTACATTAATGATATATATATATAAACAAGGCTGGGTAGGAGTAGAATTCTCTACTTGCCCCTGGACTGCATACACCCGAGACTGCTAAACTTATACAAAATGCAAAGAACCAAAATGGGTTTTAATTTCAGAACACATGTGCTTACACTGAAAGCAAAAAGATGAAAAGGAATGTTTTGTTCTTTTCTTCTTAAGGCTTTTGAAGAAATATCCTGGAATAAAATGAAAAAGGGTCTGATGTCTCCAAGCCCTCCAGTTTACAAATCCTTACCTCGCTATTCTTTTTGGCATATCTTGTCATATCTTGAGCAAGCCCTCTTGCCCCTTATCAGCACTATCCATTACCTTTACATCTTGGGTAGGGAGTGGAGGGTGAAGGGAAGGGTGATTATGTTTTCCTGCCTTAATTTCTATAATTTAAAGAAACAGTTTCAACTAAGACAGTGCTTTCACTATACAAGGGAAGAGGCATTTCCACCATGTTCTTGCGTCGCTATTGTATGCTCTTTCATTCCTTCCTCTGATATTTAAAACAGGTGCTGTTTTATTGAAGGAATTAAGGTAGGGCGTTAGGTGTGGCAGTTTATTACCTCTAACCTACTTAGGGTCAGACCTGCCATCTCAGTTGTGATAGGTGGGGAACTTCGGGTTTCCTTTCCCCAGGTTCTCAGAAACTGGAGCCCACGGCAGACATCTGGCTGTGTAATCTGGGTTGGCCTCACTGGCAAGCTGTCTTAAACGTAATTTGCAGAGAATGTGTTTGGGTCTCTTGTTTCATCAAATAAAATAAAACAGTATTCCTTTAGTGGTAGGTGATTGCTGAAATATTAAATAGAAATTTAAGACATGAGTCTCACATGGGGAGACAGGGACCAAATCATAATTGCATTAGTTTATTCTGCTGAACTCCCTGAAGAGCCAAGATGCTCCAGTTTGTGACCCAGTTTTTACCACTCTGATTTCATAAAAAGCTGTTTATTTATGTATTTTTATGTGAATATGCTTGGTAATTTATTAAGTGCAATATAAGTTTAAAACAGTAGACTTACCCAATTGAAATTCTACATTATTCCATAGAATATGTAGAATAGGTACTTCCAGTTTTATACATTATTTTGACATTTCTACCTCATTAAATTTGGGGGTTTTGTTTTGTTTGTTTGTATAATAGCTCCAAATTCATCTGTATTTGCCCCTCATCCACATTTGCTCTTCAGGTAGCACAGAGGATTCACTGTTGAATAATTTAGCATGGGTAGGTATGGCTCATTTTTAATGGTTCTTGGCCATTTTAATCCAAGAAGTGATCCAAGTAAGTCAATCACAGTAGCATCTTCTGCAAACCTTAAATTTAAATTTCTTATAATTTAAAAGGAAAATTGGTTTATAAAAATCTCAATGCCAGAAATATAGAAATGGAAACATATTTTCTTTCTTGTGATGAGAACGTTTTAAGATCTACTCTTTTAGCCACTTTCAAATGTGCAATACAGTATTATTAACTATAGTCACCATGCTGTACATTAGATCCCCATGACATTTTATTGCTGGAAATTTGTACCTTTTGACTCCCTCACCCACCTCCCACTCCTCCGCCTCTGGTAACCACCAGGCTGTTCTCTGTATCTATGAGCTTGATTTTTGTTTTTTTGTTTTTTAAGGATTCCACATATAAGTGAAATCATATGCAGTATGTGTCTTTCTCTGTCTGATGTGTTTCACTTAGTATAATGAATGCCCTTGAGATCAGTGCATGTTATCACAAATGGGAAGATTTCAAACTTTTTTTTACGGCTGAATAATATTCCACTGTGCATATATATACCACAACTTTTTTACCCATTCATTCACCCGTCAATGGACACTTAGGTTGTTTCCATGTCTTTGCTATTATAAATAATGCTGAATGAACATGGGGGTGCACATGTATTTTTGAAATAGTGTTTTTGTCTTCTTCAGATAAATACCCAGAAGTGAAATTACAGGATCATAGTGGTAGTTTTATTTTTAATTTTTTGAGGAACCTCCATACCTTTTTCTGTAGTGGTTGTAACGACTTACATTCCCACCAGCAGTCCACAAGGGGTCCCTTTTCTCCACACCCTCCCCAACATTTGTTATAGACTTTTTGATGATACAGCTATTCTGACAGGTGTGAGGTGATATCTCATTGTGGTTTGGATTTGCACTTCCCTGATGATTAGTGATATTGAGCATCTTTTCACGTATCCGTTGGCCATCTGTCTTCTTTGGAAAAATGTCTATTCAGATCCTCTGCCCATTTTATAATTGTTGTTTTTGACAATTGAGTTGTATAAGTTTTTAATATATTTTGGATATTAGCCCGTTATCAGATATGATTTGCAAATATTTTCTCCCATTCTGTAGGTTGCCTTTGCATTTTGTTGATGGTTTTCTTTGCTGTGCAGAAGCTTTTTAGTTTGACGCAGTCCCACTTATTTTTACTTTCGTTATCACCTATAGTTTCTTCTAGGAGTTTCGTGGTTTCAGGTCTTAACATTCAAGATTTAGTCCGTTTTGAGTGATAATTTTTGTAAGCGGTTATAAGATAGTGGTCCAGCTTCATTCTTTTGCTTGTGCCAGTCCAATTTTCCCAACATCATTTAATGAGGAGACTGTCCTTTCCCCATTGTACATGCTTGGCTCCTTTGTTGTAAATTAATTGACCAGGGACTTCCCTGGTGGTGCAGTGGTTAAGAATCCGCCTGCCAATGCAGGGGACACAGGTTTGAGCCCTAGTCCGGGATGATCCCACATGCCGTGGAGCAACTAAGCCCGTGCGCCACAACTACTGAGCCTGCACTCTAGAGCCCACGTGCCTAGAGCCTGTGCTCCACAACAAGAAAAGCCACTGCAATGAGAAGACCACACACTGTAATAAGAGTAGCGCCTGCTCACCACAAATTGAGAAAGCCCATGCACAGCAACGAAGACCCAATGCAGCCAAAAATAAGTTTATAAAAAAAATATTAATTGACCATATATACATGGGCTTATTTCTGGGCTCTCTATTCTCTTCCATTGATCTATGTCATCTGTTTTCATGCCAATACCGTACTGTTTTAATTACTATAGGTTTGTAATATAGTTTGAAATCAGGGAGCATGATGGCTCCAGGTTTGTTCTTCTGTTTTAGTATTGCTTTGCAATTCAGGGTCTTTTGTGGGTCCATACAAATTTTGGGATTGTTTCTATTTCTGTTAAAAATGCCATTGGAATTTTGAAAGGGATTGTATTGAAACTGAAGATGGCTGTGGGTAGTATGAACATTTTAACAACATTAATTCTTTTAATCCTTGAGCAGGAATACCTTTCCATTTATTTGTGTCTTCTTCAATTTCTTTCCTCAGTGTCTTACAGTTTTCAGTGTACAGGTCTTTCATCTTTTGGGTTAAATTTGTTACTAAGTATTTTATTCTTTTTGATGGGATTGTTTTAATTTCTCTCTCTGATAGTATGTTGTTAGTGTATAGAAATGCAACAGATTTTTGCGTATTGATTTTGTATCCTGCAACTTTACTGAATTCATTTATTAGTTCTAACAGTTTTTTGGTGGTCTTTAGAATTTTCTATATATAAGAAACCATGTCATCTGCAAATAGTGAGTTTTACTTCTTCCTTTCCAATTTGCGTTGTTTTAAAATCTATTTGTCTTATATAAGTATAGCTTCCCCTGCATTCTTTCAGTTCCATTTGCGTGGAATATCTTTTTGTATCCCTTCATGTTTAGTCTGTATGTGTCCTTACATCTGACTTAATCTCTCATAGGCAGCAATACAGAAGGGTCTTGCTTTTTTTTTTAAATCCATTCAGCCACTTTATGTATTTTGATTGGAAAATTTAGTTCATTTACATTAAATTACTGATAGGTATGTACTTACTGCCATTTTGTTAATTGTTTTCTGGCTGTTTTGTAGTTCCTCTGTTCTTTTCTTCTTCTCTTGCTTTCTTATTTTGTGGTTACCACGAGGCTTATGTACAAGAACTTAATTTTTTTAAAAAAACGGAATTTTTCTTTTAGCTGCATTGGGTCTTCGTTGCTGCACGTGGGTTTCTCTCTAGTTGTGGCGAGCGGGGGCTACTCTTCGTTGCAGTGCATGGGCTTCTCATTGTGGTGGCTTCTCTTTGTTGTGGAGCATGGGCTCGAGGCACATGGGCTTAGCTGCTCCGTGGCACGTGGGATCTTCCTGGACCAGGGCTTGAACCCATGTCCCCTGCATTGGCAGGAGGATTCTT